CGATCGATTCAAGTTCAGGCACACACGAGTGCGATATGCAAGTCTAGCGCAAGACGGCTTGATCGAGTTGGACTTAACATTTGGTCCTTAGAGCCGGATTAGTAGCGTTTGATTTAACAGAAAGTTTAATATATACATATATATATGTACAATATATCGGTACACGTTATTGAACCATTTAATTTGCTACTGTAAGCGGTTCAGCAAACAAGCAAATTTCGGGATTTTCAATGCAATTCTTGCTTTGTATTAAACACAGCTCAATTCTTCTTGCAAGTTGAGATTCTTTATCTTGACATGCTAGTAAGAATTTTAAAAGAATTTATTATCATTTTTCATACCTATGTAAAGAAATGATAAAGAACAAACAAGTACCTTCGGAATATTTGTAAGTCTTTAACAGGACACTGTATAAAGAGTTTATAGTTTTTTCAATGGCAGTTTTCATATTATCTTGTAAATACGTGTGAGCTAAGAATAAGGCAGCAAACAGATCTCCAGAACCTGTGAAGTTTGCTGGTATCTTTGGAATGTCAATTTTTATTAACTTATTGTCTGAAATTAAAGTAAATTTTATATTTTGAAGTAATTTATTTAATTCAGACATCAATTTAATTCGAATAATTTAATTACCTTTATTTGTACTAACTATTGCTGTTAGTTTGTCATTAATCTCTGTTGATGAAACAGCCACAGTTTGAGGACCAATTTTATGCAGTTCTTTCAAAGCATTTTGTAATTCAGACATTGTATTAATCTTTGTGTTGCTTAATAATCTGTAATGATATATCAATGTGATATATTACATGTTTAACTTATATTTGAGTTTTTAAATACTTACTCTAATTCAAACTGGTTCGGTACTACAATATCAGCCAGTGGTACTATTTCTTTTCTATAAATTTCTTTTAATGCTTCAGGAACATACATTTTTCCATTGTCTCCCATAACAGGATCGCACACTGGCGTTGAAAAAAGATTTTCACAGTTTTATAACAAGCGAAATAATATTTTAAGTGTAAGAAGTCAGTTGAATATATTGAATTAATTACCATATATGAGACTTGGATTTTTCTGTTTCAACATACGGATCACCTCTGTTATTTTTCTTAGGAACGAAGCAGAACCGACATATCCAGTAATTAGATGCGTGTAATAATTCAAATTGTTCTCTGCTAAACCATTTATTAATTCCTCTAGAAAGTAATTACGGATGAACACTGTTCACTATTGGTTACGTTTTTTTTTTTAAATAAATTTCATTTTACCTAAATCTTTGTCGTTTAACACTTGACCTTTGAAGACTTTATAGCCAGTGTGATTGGAAAGTTGAACGGAATTAATTGCATCTACTTCGAAACCCAACAACTAAATAAAGCAGATTACGATTTTATATTTCTTATTTCTTGTGCCAAAGCAGATATGTTTTCTAAAACTCAATTGTAATTGTCGAGAGAAATGTGCAGCTGAACACGAAACCATTTTCAAGGTACGAAATGCTGCCTAACTGATGATGGTGAGACTGTGGTGAATCTTTGCTGATGAGTTTCACAATAAAAAAAAAAGAACACATTTTACCTGCAGAGGAAATACTGCACTTTTATTACCAACGTAACCGGACACTACGTGACTTTGTATCGAAAGAATTCGTGGTGTTTTTTGAACTGACATGCTGATTAATACCGATAGTCTTAGACTTCACAGATGTCGTAGAATGCGCTGAAAGTACTTAGGTAATTACACAGATCCGTGTATTCTGTATGTATCGTATTGGATTGATTTAGAAATACACATAATACATATATAATACAAAGACACTCCTCGTTATCGCCAACATTTCGTTTCTATTGGTGTATTGAATTCCTTATCAACGTTGTCGTGTCTCGTGTCATGACATTGGATTTTTTGATTATGCATTTACCTCGCAATTTTTGCATAACGTAAGAGGTATGCGCATGGAACAGATTTGGCATCGAATGAAATTCTTATTGAAAGTTCGTTACGGGTGCATTTTGCGGATCAAATGGCATAGAAGAAGAAAGTTCAGGGCTGGGACAATGCAATTACAAAAATTTGCAAATCAATCCTCCAAATTAATTTTTTTTTTTTTTTTGTAAATTTGCTCGGACAGTGAAAGACTAGCGCCACGTAGCGGTGAGTCGGTGGAACTAAAACCTATCGCTGTCCTTGTCGCACAGTAATGCGTTCTTTGTCACATTGCATAAGTCTGTCCTTGTCGCACACTCTTGCACTCTTTGTCTACGAACAAAACAGGTGCCGCCATCTGTTGGATTTTTCCATTTTTTACTTTTAGTACCAGTTGGAATTGAGAGACGCTTAGATCGCAACGCTATCCACAGACATGTAGCGACATCTATAGTCTTATAAAAAGTTATCATGGAAATACAATAAATTATTGGTTACCATGTTACAAACAAATTGCCGAGAATATATATAATAGTAAATAAGAAATTAATGAACAGTCGTCAGTCATAATTCATCCATTAAATTCTGTATCATATAAACGTTAAAATAAATTATAAAATTTTCCTTTGTAGTACGGTGACTTTATTATTTATCGATCATCGTACCTACAAATAAAGATATACGCACTAGCGTGTATCTCGTTTGTGCTCGCAGTTAGCGAGGAAATTTTACGAGATTCCGGCAATCGACCAAACGTACCTTGGTAACAGAGACGAGAGGCAGCGCGATTCGGTTATTTCTGCAATTACGGCGAGAGAGGCAGTTAGACGCGGGCCACTGCATTGACAGCTGCGGGTAAAACCAACGTCCGCATTTGGTGCGTAATTTGCTCGCGTGCACGACACCTCGAGTTTTATAATTAAATCAGTTTCCGTGTGGTAATTGCCGCAGCGGTAATCTGGCTGCCGTCTGAAACACTGGAAACGTCGCTGTAATTGCAATGTCCACATGAAGCTACTAAAGTTTTTGCTCCGTTACTTCCCGCCAGGTATACCAACCGAGCGACACCAGTTGCCACGAAATTAACGCCCAGCCCCTTCTGGAAATATTTTTGAAACCATTTTCTATCTTTATCTGTCGTTTTGCAGGTCTCGCCTTGGAGTATATACAAGGTGGAGATGTCAAGACGAAGATGATCGATCTTCTTGATCTGTCCGCTGAGTAATTCAATCCTTTAATATATTTTCTTTTGTTTTGCTTCGTGCAGATTTTAGAAGTTCCCTCTTTTTAGATCATACTTCTATCTCTGTTGTCAGATTTGAGTCCTTGTTCCGACAGTAGTAGCTGTGATTGTGATTATATTATGTATATTTTTAAATTTCGTAGAATTTCATTGAGACAATTTTCACACCTGAAACACATATTATTACATTGTATTTTAAAAATGGAGGAATATTAAATATCATAACACGTTTTAATCGAATTAAATTTTTTACAGGTACGGAGGTTAATTCTTGTAGTGATTTCAATTAAAAGAAGGAATTTTAAGATAAAAATGATACTTTATGTTATGGTAAAACTGCTTGGTACCAATTTGTAATTCCTCGATCGATACATAAAATAGTGCTTCATCAGTAAAGAAAATATATCAGATTCTGAAAAAAAAGAACAAAAAATATCAAAATTAATTATTGAAGAAAAATTTGTATAGCAATTCTTCAATTACCTTTAACATAATATTTTCATGTTACTTTTTATTTTCTCATTGCCGTTGCTTTTACAGGGCAACCTGAAAAAAAGGCAAGCGTTGAATTTTATTTTAAAATCCTTTCATTTGGAACGTAGAACACAGTCGAGGAAAAGCATGTTGTAATTA